AAACTAATTCTAACTAAGTTTTGGCATTTAGAAATATTTTCTATATCCTCTGGTGAAATTTTGGAAAAATCTATATAATATAATGTAAGCTCTTTTAAGGAATTCTCAAGATATTTTAACGCTGGGAAAAATTTTGTATAATTTATATCATCGGGGGGTTTAACGGTAATTTGTAAATCACCAAAATAAGCATTTGCTTGACTTAAAGCGAATTTTGCTTCATAATCTGTTATAAAAAGACATGTTATGATTACTAATTATCAGATAAAGTTTTATACTCATGATTATATATACCTTGCTCATATGTAACGTAGGCTACATTTGTCATCCCTTCCATTCTTGTATAATTAAATTAGTTTAGTAAATTATAAAAATAATTTTTAGGATACATAAATTATAAAGTTTAGGTTATGAACTTACTTTATAAACTTCAATTTAGTGATGCGTCCACACTGGGAACTCATTCTTTTAACTAATAAGACAATAGGTAAGTAAAAAATTCTTAAAAATTGCACTTAAAAAGAATCTTTTTATAATATACTTTTTTAACTACCATAGTTTTTTTTTCCATTTGGAACATTATACAAGATAATACTTCTACCAATCCTATTAGCATCAAGCTCTAAGTTTTCCAATTTTTTATGGGACTTCATAATATTTACGAGTGCATCGCTTGAATCACTAGGAACCACTTTAAGAGCTAATTTATTCTTTAATCTCTTCATGTCAATGATATCTTCATAATCTTTACAGCAATGAAACTTAACCCGTAATGTTTTTAATTGTGTTATTCCTGACATATTATTTAAGAGTGTTGTTGGTGTTGGAAGTATATGTAGGTCATTGATCAATAATTCCTCAAGTCCTTTACTTCTCCGAAGAAACATTGTAATCAAAGAATCTAAAATAATCTTAGGTGCTAATTTCAACTTTTTTTCATGAATTTGACAATAGTCACAGAGTTTAATCTGTGGCTTATTAAAATGAAGATAGTAAGCCCTCAATTTTTTTTTTTTATTACTGATCAACTTTTTTTTATTACAGTGACAAATGCTAATATAGCCTTCATGTTCAAGCCACATTTCTATTCCGTTTTTGATTAAACTAGTATCAAGAATCTTTAAGAAGGCTTCATACTCGAATAATGGTTTTGAAAGTTTAGTAAGGTTAATACCAAATGAAATTAGTGGTTTCTTTTCTTCAGGAGATAATGTTGAAAGGTATATTCGAATAAGTGATTCGGAAACCTTTCTTTGTAACGGGTTACTCCATAATATTGGTATTGTATTTAGACACCAAAGACGGTTAACAAGGCTACATGAGAATAAACTATTGCTGTCGCTTGCAAAATTAATAAGAATTGCGTAAATACACTCATTTGGTATTTCTTTCATGATAGATAGGTAAACAGAATGAACAAACTCCGTGTGTGTACGTACGTACGTACGTAGATTCGTATGTATATGTAATCTTATGCAGGTTGCCAAATATATATA